AGTGTTTGTTATCAACCAAGGATAAACCCTATTGAAAATCAGAAAATCGAGAAATATTTAGTATGATTTATTGCCCATGTTCTTGAAAACGCGTTCAATTTTTAGCTCGTAAACACTCTAAAAGGGACAATTCTTCACGGATTTTGGCGAAACTTGTTGTGAGTGTTTGTAATCACCCAAGGATGAACCCTATTGAAAATCAGAAAATCGAAAAATATTTAGTATGAGTTATTGCCCTTGTTCTTGAAAACGTGTTTAATTTTTAGCTTGTAAACACTCTAGAAGGGACAATTCTTGACGGATTTTGACGAAACTTGGTTTTATTATTCAGTCCCGCGCTGAAGATTGAATATTTGCCTTCTAGAGTTTTCACGAGCTAAAAATTGAACACTTTCTCAAGAACAAGGGCAATAACTCACACTCAATATTATTCAGTATCGCCCTAAAGAGTTTATAAGATATGTATGATTGAAGGTTGAATATTTCATACTGATGATTGTTACTGTACTGCTAAATATCTTTATTCAAAATTAAAGCTGCCAGTGGGCGTATATTACCTTAGCTTTCTTTTCTTTTCCGATTTCCTTGTGGTCATAGGTAAGTATTGTTGACATTCAGGAGTTGAGACAACTTTAAACCCTATTCTAATTGTGGAAAGGATATGAATGTGATTGATTTGATGACCACCCTCAATGCTGCTCGTCTTGGGGCTCTGACAAATGGTCAGTCATTCAAAAAATGATTGATAACACTAAATCTAAGAATAAAAACCCTACTAGTACGGTAACAACTGCTTCTGTGTTGGATTCATGTAGTGATGAACCTAGACAAAGTAGTTCCAGTCAACAAATGGAATTCTCCTTGAGGGATGAACATATTCCAGTTGACGGCTTTCAGTCATCAGATCTCCCTTCAAATCCGCCCACTCAACCTTCGCCAATGGACCAAGATTTATTACAATCTCTTCTCTGATAGTGTTGATAAGAAACTCGATCAAAGGGTCAGTAAGCCATCTTCCCGAGCAGAGAGAAAAACTGAACAGGCTAAGAAACGCTTTGATAAATTCAGTTCAAACCGAGGAAATCCAGACTCTAATTCTCTGAGTCTGGTTTTGAATCTGTTCACGGGGGTCCGTTTGAGGTATTGGAGATCCCTCTGAAAGCCTCGGTGCAGTTTCAAATTCAGATAATTCCTCAGAGGTACTTTCAAATTCTCAGAACATTCGAGAGACTGATTGGGATAGCTTTGTACATAAAACGGCACTGGTTCTTCACATTGATTGTGGTGAGTGTCAGAAAGGCGAGGAGCATAAGTCCTATATTACTGGTAGACTGTTGAGCACGTCTCACACCAAGTCGGCTAGATGCCTTCTCCCTCCAGAGGGCTCTGTTCTTGATGCCCTGCATGATGTAGATGCAGAGGTTGGAAAGAGAAAGGTTCGTATATACAAAGCCGCAGATGACTCCATTTAGACGACAGAGGATAGATTGTTATATCAACCCTGTATTGGTTCTGAGTTGTTTAGTGGAAAATTCTTTGAATTGTTACAGTGTTGAAAACATTCGTGATGCTAAGGAGACTCAACACCTCCTTCTGAATACTAGTGGACAGAATTCGCAGAGTAACGTTCATTTTTAATCTAATGCTAATAAGTCATTTGTTAAGAGGAGAGAGGCACCACCTATGGAAAATTCCTCTAAATCATCTTCCTGGTCTTCAAATGGTAGAAGAAGGAATGAGTCTCCCGACAATTACTCTCATAATGCTGGTACTCACTCTAAAAATAAGAGAGAGGATAGATTTAAACGTCAGGATTTTCCCTCATCACGGGGGAGGGGTCAGTGATTTCGGAAGAAGTAAATTTTCATTCCATTTTAGAGATCCTAGAGATCATTTATCCATAATCAATTCACTTATTTAAGGCTGTTTGATGATAAAAATCTTAATTTTTGTAGAGCACTTGCACACACCTTCTATCAATCCGCAATCTTTTTTCTTTTTCTTTAGGTGTATTTATTTTCTTTTTCTTTAGGTGTATTTATTACACTATTTGCTATCTTGTATGCGGATGGCACTGTCCTGTTCTGAGAAAGTGAATTAGAATTACAAGCTGCGTTCAACTCCATGTTAGAATATTGTACACACTAGAAATTAATTCAACAAAAACTAAAACTATTGTATTTCCGAAATAAGGAATACACCTAAAATTACGTATGGATATGTTGAAATAGAAACCGTTCATGAATATGCTTATCTTGGTATACTTTTTAATTTTAACGGTTCTTTTGTCAAGGCCAAGAAAAAACTTCATAGCAAAGCATCTTCAGCAATGTTTTCACTATTACAAAAAGATCTTAAATTAAATCTCGATGTAGATACACAGATGCATGTGTTCAATTGCCTTGTAGTACCTATTGCCCTGTATGGTTGCGAAATATGGGAATCCACTGATAACAAACTGTTAGAAAGACTTCAACTGAGATTTTGTAAATATTTACTGAATGTTAAAACTTCTACCCCAAATGTCATGGTCTATGGTGAGCTTGGTGTATATCCTTTGCAAATTTATATAATAGGATAGAATGGTTAATTACTGGTATAATCTTATAACTGGTCCTAGATCTATAAGCGCTTGTGAACTGTTGACGCTCTGTATACATCATACATGATTGAACTACATAAAAGGCACTTTAGACAGTGCCGGGTTGTCTTATATTTGGGACACCCAAGCCTGTGATATTAATGTTAAGTGGTTGAAACAATTTTTACTGCTAAGGCTAAAGGATCAATATCAGCAAAAATGGAGTAACACTGTACATAATTCAAGCAAATGCTTAAATTATCAGATATTTAAATCCCCGTTCAACTTTGAACATTACCTAATTGATTTACCTCTGAAGTACAGACAATACTTTAGTAAATTTAGTTGTCGAAGTCATAGACTTCCAATTGAAGCCGGGGTTTTACATAAATAAACTAGAAAAAAATTTGCTTTCTCTGCAATGAAGATGAAGTAGGCGATGATTTCCATTACATTTTCAAATGCCAAATCCTCAAGAACGAACGTAGTAAATTTGTGAAAAGTTATTACCTGAATTGTCCTTCAGCTATCAATAGTGATGGGCAATCGGAAGAAAAAATAATCGATTAATCGAAATAATCGGAGAGGCATAAGCGATTATGTAATCGATTAATTATCGAAGCACGCCCTATTTAATGAACATGTTTTAAGGCTTTATATTTAATTTCATAGTTGTTTTGTTAATTGTGATAGGTTTGATGCAGGTACACTGTAAGTCAACACTTGCATACCAGTTTTTTGCTCTATGGATCGAAATTACACATCAGTTTAAAATTTTGTGGAGTATAAGCACTTTTTAACGATGTAGAATTCTTGCTATTAATTAAGTACTTTTAATGAAAGTAATACGTATTGTTATAAAAACAACTTTAATTCTTGAATTGTAATTTTATTACTAGTACAAAAAATAAATACAACAGTAGTAGCCTATTTTTAACATCAAACTACAGGCTATGCACGTTAAAGATCCCTCGGCAGTTGGAAATCGAAAAAGAGCAGGCTAATGCCACTGTCCTGGCAAAATTTCCCTCACTGCACCTTGCATGGCGTTGCCGTCTTCATTAGCCCACATGGTGCAGAAAAGTTGACGTAAAACTCCATTCATTTCATTTTATTTCTTTAACATCAAATGTATTCTTATATCCATTAACCTACTTAAAGTACAGATTACACAAACAATAACATCTACTCAAACACTCGCCATTCATTTCAATGTTCAAAAAACTTAAGCGATATCGATGATTATTTATATGCAAGCACATTCGGGGTATATTCTTTAAGTAGTTATTATTTTGTTAGGTATCTTGTTACCTACCATATTGCCCTAAATATGTTTGAAAAAGACATCTCCGGTCGAAGCGTTATGTCACATTATTGCATATCATCTTATATATTATTACTACCTTCTGAAGACAGTAAGCCCAAAATTGAATTTATTTTCTCTCATTAACAAGTAGGCCTATCGAAAATATTATAAATTTTCAATTACATGTTATCTGTCTTGAAATGTCTTGGGGTTAATAGAAATGTAATGTTTGGAAATTTTATAATTGAAATAAACACATCCATTAATTTTCGGTGAAACTGACTTTTCGAAACTGAAAATTTCCCTCTGTAAAATCATGTTTATATCACTATCTATACCTTACCTGCATCTTAACTATTTGCACTATTCCCGGAACGACACATCGAACGCCCGATAAAACTTTCCTACGAGTTACCTCCCTCTGCCACTAACTCAGTTTATTTTCGGGCGCCATCTTTCTCGGTCACGTTTGGTGAGCTAAGAAGATTTTTCATCGATATAAGTCCGTTTTGGATAAGTAATCTTACTTTTTTCTTTTCCGATTTCCTTGTTGTGATCATCGGTAAGTATTGTTGACATTCAGGAGTTGTGACAACTTCTTGAGCTATTTTCTGGGCCGAAGTTTTGATGACTTCTCGCTGGCCACACTTTCGAGCAACGAGTTTCATAAGACCACTTGATTTCTCTTTCTCGTGAGGAAATCATGTCCCTATCTTCTGCGGACAACTTTAAATCCTGTTCCGATTGTGGAAAGGATATGAATGTGATTGATTTGATGACCACCCTCAATGCTGGCCTCGTCGTGGTTGTAACCGATCATCGTCGTGTTTATTCTGCTCGTCTTGGGGTTCTGACAAATGGTCAGTCATTCATAAAATGATTGATAAAACTAAATCTAAGAATAATATCCCTACTAGTACGGTAACAACTGCTTCTGTGTTGGATTCATGTAGTGATGAACCTAGACAAAGTAGGTCCAGTCTACAAATGGAATTCTCCTTGAGGGATGAACATATTCCACTTGTCAGCTTTCAGTGATCAGATCCCTCTTTGAAAGGGAGCAAGAATGACCATTCTTCATTGGCTTTAAATCCGCCCACTCAACCTTCGCCAATGGACCAAGGTTTATTACAATCTCTTCTCAGAGCGGTCTCTGATTGTGTTGATAAGAAACTCGATCATTTTACTCAAACGGTCAGTAAGCCATCTTCCCGAGCAGAGAGACAAACTGAACAGGCTAAGAAACGCTTTGATAAAGGCAGTTCAAACCGAGGAAATCCAGACTCTAATTCTCGGTCTGATTTTGAATCTGTTCACGGGGGTCCCGTTTTAAGTATTGGAGATTCCTCTGAAAGCCTCGCTGCAGTTTCAAATGCAGATAATTCCTCAGACGTACTTTCAAATTCTCAGAACACTCATATTCGAGAGACTGATTGGGATAGCTTTGTACGTAAAATGGCACTGGTTCTTAACATTGATTGTGGTGAGTGTCAGAAAGGCGAGGAGCATAAGTCCTATATTACTGGTAGACTCTTAGACACGTCTCACACCAAGTCGGCTAGATTCCTTCTCCCTCTAGAGGGCTCTGTTCTTGATGCCCTGCATGATGTAGATGCAGAGGTTGGAAAGAGAAAGGTTCGTATATACAAAGCCGCAGATGACTCTCGGTACAAGGTTTCTACCGATCATTTTAAGAAGTTCTGTTGTATCCCTCATTTAGATGAAAATATTGCAGAAGAGTTGTCTTCCCAATCAGCCACTAAGTCAGGTCTTACACCTCATGGTCAAGGAAAGAGAGTTAAATTACAAAATTAACAGGCCAGAGCAAGAAATGGCGACTTTGTTAAGATTGACTCAGAGGCTCGCCTTTTACTGAGGGAGATTTCTTACGGATCTCTTATGGTTTCATATCTTGATAAGTTGCCAAATGATGATGATTTAAGGACTGAGGCTCTTCGGGCTATGATTGATATTTTCAGGTCCATGGCAGATGTCACTTCTTGGATCATTACCACTTCCATATTAGCTAGACGTTCTATATATTTGAATGAATTTTCATTTAGACGACAGAGGATAGATTGTTATATCAGCCCTTTATTGGTTCTGAGTTGTTTAGTCGAAAATTCTTTGAATTGTTACAGTGCTGAAAACATTCGTGATGCTAAGGAGACTCAACACCTCCTTCTGAATACTAGTGGACAGAATTCGCAGAGTAACGTTCATTTTAAATCTAATGCTAATAAGTCATTTTTTAAGAGGAGAGAGGCGCCACCATTAAAATTCCTCTAAATCATCTTCCTGGTCTTTAAATGGTAGAAGAAGGAATGAGTCTTCTGACAATTACTCTCATAATGCTGGTACTCTAAAAATAAGAGAGAGTATAGATTTAAACGCCAGGATTTCCCTCATCACGGGGGAGGGGTCAGCGGTTTCGGAAGAAGTAAATGTTCAAAAGAGTTTAGAATTGGTTTCATACCTCCAGGTCTGGTTTCTTTATTTCATCCAAGTTGGCAAGAGATCACCACAGATCAGTGGGTCTTAAACGTAGTTCAAGAGGGACTTCGTCTATGTTTTCACAAAAACCCTCCATGGACCGGAGTAAGGCATACTCCTTTACAGGATTTGACAAAGCGTTCAGTTATTTTAGGAGAAGTAAAGGCTTTGTTAGCAAAATCTGCTATAGAGCTAGTTCTGTCAGACCAAGTAGGTCTGGGATATTACAGCACCTTCTTCGTAGTACTAAGGAAGGACGGGGGACTCCGTCCAATTCTAAACCTGAAATATCTAAACCTTTACCTAAATGTACCTCATTTCAAAATGGAAACTCTAGGCTCCGTTATACAAGCCCTAGAACCCAACGATTGGGTGGCATCCTTGGATCTAACAGATGCATATCTGCACATTCCGATCTACCCTCCTCACAGGCAGTATCTAAGGTTCTGTGTCAACGGGGCCCATTTCCAGTTCTCGACAGTGCCCTTTGGTCTAGCCATAGCCCCTCGGGTATTTACGAAGGTGATGGCAGTCATAGGAAGAGTTTTTTTTATTTCTTTACCTGGACGATTGGTTAATGAGAGCCGCTCAGCGTCAGATTCTAACAGAGAGCGTAGAATATACAATGAAATTGCTACACAGTCTAGGCCTTCTAATCAATTACAAGAAATCTGTTCTGACTCCTTGTCAGAAGATAGAATATCTTGGAGCAACATTCAATCTCCAAGGGGTAATTTACCCGACAGAGGATCGCTTCAACTCACTCAAAGAAATAATCTTATTGTTCATGAAGAGCTTCCGAATACAGGCCCATGTTTTTTTGCGCTTGCTGGGACTCATGGCTGCTTGTATAGAACTGGTGCCTTGGGCGAGGATATATATGAGACCAATTCAATTCTGTCTTCTAGCTCAATGGAGACCACACGCTGAGAGCCATCTGAATCAGATATTTATAACCCCCAATTTAGGCACTCATCTTCAGTGGTGGACAAACCGTGAAACCCTTTTCCGCGGCATTCCATTGTCAGGCAATCCTGTTCAGGTGTCAGTGTGAACAGATGCCAGTTGCTTTGGATGGGGGGCACACACAAGAAGGGTTCAGGAGTTTAGGACTTCTTAGAGAGGCAGAAACACACCAATTGGCTATAACTGTAAGCAGTTTTCAAAGCTCTTCAGCACTTCCTTCATTTATTCAAGGAGAAACATGTCTTGGTACACACAGACAACTCCACAGTAGTAGCCTACATCAACAAACAGGGAGGCACTCCATCTCCAGAGTTGTGTATGCTTGTTTGGGAAATGCTCCATCGGTGTATGGATCAGGGCATTACCGTTTCTGCAGCCCACATTCCTGATCAGAGGAATGTTCTAGCAGACAGCCTGTCTCGAGGAGCCTGTCTACACCGTCAAGTAGTGAGAATGATATTCGATCACATGGGTCATCCCAACATAGATCTTTTTGCAACCAATCAAAATACTCAGCTTCCAGTGTTTTGTTCTCCGTACCCACACCCTCAAACGTGGGCTTACGAATTTCTGTCGATTCTGTGGGAGGGAATGAGCGCTTATGCCTTTCCCCCACCAGTGTTGGTTCCAAAAGTCATAGCCAAGGTGAAATCAGAAAATTGTATTCTGATTCTAATAGCTCCCATGTCAAATGTCAATATAATACCTTAATGGGATATCGTTCAGCCATTGCTTCATTTCATAAAGGTTTTAAGGATAATAGAGATGGTACAGTCCCTACAAACTCTGATTTATCTAAGTTGATAAAGGGAATTTTTAATTCATCACTACCTGTTCCTTCCTAATTGGGATTTACCATTAGTACTTTGGAGTCTATGTGAAGAACGCCTTTTGAACCTTTGTCTTCTATAAGCTTGAAGTTTTTGACATGGAAGGCAGTTTTCCTTGTGGCCTTGGCCACTGCATCTAGAGTTAGTGAATTTCAAGCCCTGAGTTTAGATGATTCTTACTTTCGTATAGAAAGATCAGGCATTAGATTATTGCCAAACATGAGGTTTTTGGCGAAAACACAAAGAATAGGGAAGATAGATAAAGGATCCTATATTTATACCCAATTTCGATAATCTGGCTGCAGATCCTAAAGATTTGTTACTCTGCTTTTGTCGAGCATTGAAACAGTACATTAAACGAACAAGATGTCTTCGGTCTGAAGAATCTTAGCTTTTATTACTTACCAAGAATACCAAGAAGGTTTTCATAAGGGTGCTTCCAAGAATTCAATTTCAAGATGGATAGTTAGTCTTTTTAAGTATGTTTACGATGCGTCTGATAAAGAATTATCGCATTATCGAGCTCACGATATAAGAAGATTATCTACATCATGGGCACTCTTTAAAACCCTTTATTTGGCAAGACATGTTTTTATCATTGAAAAATTCAAATTTTTGGCATATAGTATACTTATAGGACATCAAAAATGCGAGAAAATTTTTTTTTTTTGCCCCACCCCATCCTTCTCTGAATTGTTGAAATTTGGCATCATTTGCAATTTAGGGAAAGAATTTTCGCAAATCATCCCCAAAACAAACTAAATGAAAAAAGTAAGGCATAGATATTAATAAGTTTTAATTCGTTAAAATTGATGAAATACTGAAAATACATGGTATATCAAGTTTAATTAGACAATGAATCAAGCCCATCAGATTCATTTTAAAATTCATTCTTTCAAGATAGGGTATAAATATATGCATAAATGATGCATGAAGACACATGTAGGAGGCTATCATTGAGCATTAACCACAAAACTAGAAAGTCATCACATTACTTGGTATGAAAAGACATAAAACAATTCCTGTCTTTGTTAAGACAGAGATATGTGCGACACTTTGAACATCTGTATTGCGAATACCCGGTTGGACAGAGACGACATCTTCCCTTGTCATTTTCATGCACAGGCCAATGTGCGACCTGGTCATATCTGCTATATGCTAAGGGTCTGGGGACTACAAAACGTCTTATTTTAGACTTCTAGGAAAGGCCTGCCTCTTCTTGGAACCTTGCCCGCAAATTGCAGTCCAAATGCAATTTGTCCCCTAAACTTCTTCAGACTCATATATGTGTTTTTATTGTGATCTCTCCTGTACAGGAGCCATGCATTGTTCACACACGTCAAGAAGTTGACCAAATACCCTGAGATACCAGCGCTTTGTTTTCAGACCGGTTCTGTACAGGGAAACTAGCATATCTGCAAGGTCAACCCCACCCATATGAACATTATATTGCTTGATAATGTTTGGTGCAGGTACTTTTTCGGTAGATTTTGAAACTTTACTGTACCTTTCCACTGTAGTAACTGGTTCCACCCCAGCATACGAACTGGCAAGTGTTACGACTTTGTTGTCGTACCATTTTACGACCGTGATGCCATTTGCTTGGTCAGTCCTATAGTCATAACTGCCACGACCCTTTTTCATAAGTACCTTGTCATCTGTTATAGATAATTTTCTTTTCCTGTTGGCACGCAACGTGCCAATACAATAAATTTCGTAATTAACTTTTAGGTATTTAATTAATTCAAAGCTGGTAAAGTAATTGTCAAAATAAACCTTGGAATTTTGAGGATCTGCTATTGATCGGCATAGGGAAAATTACAACTTGACCACCATGACCTAATTGCAATTCCTCTGCATTAAAGCAATTATTATCAAAATGTGCTTTATCCAGCGTATGCTATGAAATTATAAATCATACCCGATACACCAGCACGCGTAAAAAAAATTGAAACCCTACTTTTTGGGTTTACTTTTGATATATTGCCTCAAATTCCCAGCGCGTTTGTCTTGTAAGGAATCATCATCTCATCTATAGAGAATTGGACTTCGGGTTCTATGGCCAAAAAATTAGTGCGCACTTTGTTCATGATGGGGCGAACTTTAAAATAACGATCTGTCGAGGTTTCTGCCATAGAATTGTTGTTAAAATGAATATTCCTTCTTAATTTCTGAAATAATTTCAATGACATACCGTCAGCAATTGGTGCAAATCTGGTTTCATATGACCAATAATCTAAATAACATGGACATGTTACAAAACCTATATATAGCAATATTGATACAAAACATTCAATTTCTTTTTTGGTCATATTTACGGAAATACCTGATCTTTGTACAAAATACAAGTTAGTTTGATCTACAATATAATCTATAACTTCATCATCAAAAAGTGTTTTAAAATACTGCAGTGGAGTTAATTCATCATCCCTTGTAGTAAATTGTACATCCTTGCCAATTTCACCAGGAATCAATTTGATCTTGGTCCAAGTCCATTTGTTAACAAGTTGTGTCTTTTTTTGCTTGGATGTAGTAGATTCAATATCCCCAGCAGGCTCATCATCATACAAATCATCCTGGTCATTATCATCATCTGATTGCGCCTCTGGAAGAAAATCTGCATCAACTTGATCTTCGTCAGCTTCGCTATCACTTTCAACTTCATCATCTGAGTTATCTGGTAGAAGTATGGTCTTTGTGGCTTTCCGTTTTCGACCATAAAATGCCCGGGCAATAAAACTGCATGACTTCTCTTCTTCCGACATGCTTTTGAATTCTGAAGCAATAAAATCTCACTGCAGAAATAATAGAGTAATAAAGAATCACCTAACATGTATCTCAACCAATCTGTTTTAATCCCAAAACATTTATAATACATAAAATAACATGTTTGATATGAAGAGGTTCCTTACCTGCACGTTTCCATAAATTGAATATCCTGCATAGCTTTGTTGCCAATTGGCAACAACTATTTTGTAATTTTTTTACCTACCAAAATTTTAATGTTATGAAAAATCTACAAAATTAATTTGATTTCGGTTCCAAATCCCTACTGCAGAAGCCCATTAATTCTCAATCAAAGAATAACAAAAACACGGGTTTGGGAGATCCGGATATTTTATTTGCACACTATAAAATATCAATACAACTTGGGCAATACATATATCGATATTAATGCACAATTCCTCAAACAAAATGCAAATAATATTATTTGATATACATATGCAAATACAAAACATAAGGGTTAGAAAGGGTGGGGGGGGGGGGGGGGATTATTTAACCGCGTGTTATACTTCTGCTAGCGATGACGACGTTCTTGTAAAAACGAAAGTAGATCTGCACGTGCAAAGCAAACCAAATGACGTAACTATATTCTGTTTCAAATACAAACATATTATGCTCTGTTCTAACAATCTGAACAATCACATACTTTAACAATATTCTAATTAACTACGTATTAATAAATCAATCTGTCACTTAATTCTCAATCAAAGAATAACAAAAACACGGGTTTGGGAGATCCGGATATTTTATTTGCACACTATAAAATATCAATTCAACTTGGGCAATACATATATCGATATTAATGCACAATTCTTCCAAACCTCCCAAACACTATTAATTACATATTTTTACCGAAAACCTTCATCATAGAAAACCTTAGGTCCATGGGGATATTAATGTATCTCAAGTAGGCATTAGATTTCCAATCACCATGCAGTTTAATCAATTCCGCAGGAATAGTACAGGCGAAGGCATGGGAGGCTCCCCCTCTACGGAAAGAGTGTCCAGAATATTGAGATGCATCATACCCACAAGCAGATAAGGTGTGTTTTAAAGCTGCAACAAATGTATTATGCGTAAGCATCTTAACAGACTTTCCTACTTAAAAATAAAGGTGCATTCTCTGAAAGACTACCACTGGTTGCTGAAAACATATTTTTTAGAGCCCTAACTGGACACAAGGATCCATTATCATTATTATACAAAATAGGAATTAACAAAACACGTTCATGATTTTGCAAAGTTTTGGTATGTTTTACTTCTAAAGTAAATCCTTCTTCTGTAAAAGTAACAGACGAACGGGTTAAATTACTGTTGCGATTAAACGATTTTACACATTTGGGTACCAAAGAGGATTTACGTAAGAAAGAATAAAAAGCTAACAAAGCAGCAGCCCAAAAAGTTAAATTAAAAGGGGTAGATAAGTCTAATTTATTGTACATCTTGCGCAGGATATCTGGTGTAATAGGTAGTTTGGATTTCCGAGGTTTACCAATGAGTCTATTGACACCTTTTAATAAGGATTTGATCTGAAAATTATCTAAAGGGTTATCCAAATTAGCTTCTATATGAAGTAATCTAATAATATTAATATATCCACAAATGCTAGAGTAAGCAATGTAGCGTAATATAGTACTAGTTGAACATGGAATTGGTTCATAGCCAAAGAATAGGCAAAACCTGAGATAACTCTTTAAGTGCGATCTGTATGTTGCCTTGGTTGACTGCATAAATTGCTAATCTAAAATTGCGCACATCCTGGTCAAGATATCGTTCCTGAGCTGATAATGTGCCTGTGAAATGAAAAGGGCACAAGGGTAAGACATACAGTTTGCAAGGTAAAAAGAGGGATATAAAAGATACTGGTTATAGTCCAACAATATTTTCGCTGCGACCAGGGCGAAATTTTCCTGATCCAACCGAGACAAAGTGTCCGCGACAACGTTGTCTTTAGTAGATATATACTTGGCACATATTGTGATATTTAGGGTTGCCAAGATAGAATATAGTTCACGTAGAAACATTAGTCCAACCGAATTGCGAAGTGTGCCCTTTTTAGGCTGTACATAATACCTGGTTGTCTGTATATACTGTCACACACTTGTTTTCCCATATTAAGGACCACTTCCTGAATGCTATCAAGACAGTTAAAAGTTCTTCTAGATTGATGTGAATGTCTTTGAATTCGGGATAATCTAACTCCCAATTCACATAGAACCAATTTCCGTTATGGAAAGCCGCCCCGCCATTGGTACAGGCGTCCGAGCAAAATGATATTGATGATGAGCAGGAATGTCCGGCTATTAAAACAGTACCGTTAAAGTCACCACACGCCTTTTTTAGCCAGATGATATCCTCTTTAACAGCACTATGTAGGCGTACATGTGAGGGACGTCTTAACGTACACATTAGCTCTATTAACCTACGAATAAAAGGATCTAGACGCCCGTATCAACTTTGCAGCCCAGTTGAGTTTCCCTATTAAATGTTGGAGTTGGCGTTTCGGGACTGATTTCTTGGTTAACCAACAAGACAACTCTGTTTTAATATCTCAAACCTTACATTCAGGGATAGATATTGTCATTGCGATAGAATCAATGGAAACTCCAAGGAAAACTATTGTTTATGCAGGCGGAAAAGTCTTAGACCAATTAATAGTAAATCCAGATAGTTCTATGACGCTGATCAGGTAGTTATAAGCCGCCAAACAATCTTCATAAGTGTCAGCCACAACAATGAAATCATCCAAATAAACGAAAACGTTTTTAAATCCCCTCCGTTTGAGCATTCGGGTGATGCTGTCAGTGATACGTTGAAAAATTGCGGGGGCTGTGGAGGCACCGAAACATAATCTACTATCATACATGGAGGTTGGATGTGTCGTCCCGGAAAATACCCATTTAAGCCCAGTAGCACAAAAATTCGAAGGATGTACTGGAACCGATCTGTACGCATGTGATAAGTCTAACTTTGCACAAAACCCCTGGTGTTTTAACACCGAGCATACCTGGTCTAAAGACGTGTATTTAGTTTTTGTGGAAAAGGCGTAAGAATTGAGGGATTTTCCGAAAGGGCGAGATGCGTCGTGTATTAGCCTAATATTGTCACTGTTAGGTTTGGGTATGGCTCCCAAGGCGCTAATAATTTTTGGTTTTTCTTAACAAATTATATAGTTATTTTGTCGTATTTCTGATAAAATGGTCTCTTCGGTTTTTGATCTGTTAATCAAAGAGCTTTTGTGGTTTCCAAATTCTGCATTCAAAATAACCGTATCACTTATGATTTTAAAGCCGTCACGAATAAATAAAGTTTTTATCACGATCTTTTCTTAGTTCAGATTCCCAAAAATTTCAACAATTAGTTAAAGGGCTTGTTATCATTGGTGGCTATTGCGATATGGCACTATTTCCTTTAGTAATTAGTTTATGGAGATATTTAGGGTGGTTTTGACGACATCCCTCACTTGTAAACACATGACTGAATTTACAGAACCTACGACGACAGCCTGATTCAGTTTGATAATCTCTACAGATATTTTGTCCTTTGGAGTCTTTTGGTATATGTACAGATACTACAGACTTGTTATTTCCTAATGAGGGTCGATTTGTAGGTCGTAAAAAGAAATTAACTCCGTGGAAATCGGGAGTGGCCCATCGAAATTTCTCTTTAGACTGTCGTTCACGGTATCTATGATCAAAGAGCATGACTGAAGGTGTTGAATATATTTGAAAGTATTCACCGATTTCTTCTGTGTATTGCATGTAGTCTAATACGTCACCCATAGAACTTATATCACCCCTTTCCATTAATGATTTGAGAATTCTCATATTAGCGCTGATCCATTGCGGAACAGTTACTTGTTCGGGTTTTACTTTAGCACTTTGTCGCATGAAGAGTGTTGTCCCTCCTCCAGAAGCGGAAACTAATTCGTTTTCGTCGGGGTCATTTGGTATAAGCTTATTGTGTGAAACAAAGTCTTTAATGTACAAAGTTTTCAAACTTGAACACGTACCTTGCTGATTTAACTGGTCATTTTTTTCAACATTCTTTGAATTGGTTCCAAAGAATATACTTGGTTCCGGTTCTATGGGTGTCACTAAAAGTTGAGTTTGCGTCTTTAAAGCCTTCTAACAGGTCAACTCTAATTGAAATCAAAATGCCAGATTTTCTTCTTAAATACACACACCGTTTTATATTTGTTTAATATGTTTTATGTCCAGTTATAATATATGAATAAGCTCTGGGATGGATTGAACCATGTTATATTGTAATCTGAGCTGACGGAAGCATCTAAAAGGTATACCCTCACCTAATTTTCCAACTTTCTTATTTCTTATCAAAATTTCCCCAAACTTAGTATGTATGTGTATAATCAGATTCTAAATTTGATGGTATATCGAATTTACGTAGTGCGCATGCGCATTACCAACTTTCTTATTTCTTATCCGAATTTCATCAAAATTGATCTTTATTAATTTGACATACATTCTCTTATTCTTAGCTAATATACTTTAAACTACACGCACTTTCGCATATTTGCATTTAGAGATGCAGAAAAGTATTTACATCAATGTAATTGCAATAGACCATCGCCATATGTACCTGAATGTCGTAACACGCCCAGCATTAGTACTGTTATTAGAACAGAATATGAATATCCGCCTCAAAATAGTATTGTTAGTCTTTAAATGTCTTTGCTTTGATAAAAAATATGAACATAAGCATACATTATTATGTCTTCAAAATTAGCTTTTACAGAGGCACATTTTCATCCAAATTTGTGACTTTTTGGCGTTGAAATTTCTAGGAAGGAAACGGGTTTCTTCTCAATGTAATCTTACAAAAGAGCACAATTTTATCAACGCAAGACATTCTAAGATTATCAGTACTGTTTTGAGGCTGATATTCCAAAACCCTTAAAAAACATCGAAAAAATTAAAAAAAAAATTAATTTGCTAAAACAATAGTTGGAAATTGAGGGTTTTCTCTTGTAAAACCCCTGTTTATGAGATATCTATACCTACCTGCATCTTAACTATTTGCACTATTCGCGGAACGGCACATCGAACGCCCGATGAAACTTTCCTACGAGTCACCTCCCTCAGCCACTAACTACTTTCGTCCATCAGTTTATTTGAGGATCTTTCTCATACAGAATATATATATTAAAGGCTGAAGGTGAGGAGGCGGAACTGATGCAGGTAGGTATAGATATCTCATAAATAAGGGTTTTACAAGAGAAACCCCTCAGTTTATATCACTATCTATACCTACCTGCATCTTAACTTTTTGCAAATTCAAGAATTTGTAGCAAAAGGTGGTGGAAAGCCTTTAAAGTCCCAAGACTAAGACATCCAAAGAAAAAAAAATATCGCTACTACCCACTTGAACAAGAACAAATCATCTCTTTTGTCTGGAGGCTAGTAAAATAGAAGAATGTGCAAATGATGCTTCTGATGTAGGTACATTCTTCAAATAGAAGCTGGTAAACGTATTTTCACTAGCCCAGTGTGCCGCTTTCAAAATGTTTTGTACAGGTGCACCATTAACCCTTTATTATAATTTGTTGCCAATTTGGCAACATAACAGAAAAGTGACATCTGACTCCATAATCGTTATGTTTATATTGGTATTAGCCTGTATTTGCAACATTGTTCTGATACTATATATATATTTATTGGGGGAAAGTGGGAATTTCCTTTTTAGCACCTGGCTGATTAATTTGCAGGTTTCGTCTGCTAAACAAAAAGTGGTAAGTTACTCATTTTTAATGAAAGACCCTTACTATGCCTGTTTTCACACATAATATTTATGTGACAGATTGATTTATTAATATGTAGTTAATTAGAATATTGTTAAAGTATGTGATTGTTCAGATTGTTAGAACAGAACATAATATGTTTGTATTTGAAACAGAATATAGTTACGTCATTTGGTTTGCTTTGCACGTGCAGATCTACTTTCGTTTTAACAAGAACGTCGTCATCGCTAGCAGAAGTATAACACGCGGTTAAATAATTCTTTTAAAAAGATGTCGGATTTATTTTCTTTCTCAGAATTTATCCAATCAAACTGTTTATCTGTGACACTTATGGAAGCTCTTAAATCAGAGGAATTGCATACCTATGCTGCTTTAGTAAACCTGGCTGATAATTTTGAGGAAGACGTGGCAGGTTTAAAAATTTCACTGGCAGAAAAAGGCCGCCTTCGAAGGGCGTTATCAGAATTTCGTAGCAGAAACCAAACGTTTCCACATTCTCCAGTGAATTCTAAGGACCTTCAAAAGGATAAACAATCTAGCGTCCTAGCTCCCGTATATATTAAGACTTTATAATTAACAACTATTTTATTCAATCTATTTAACTAGTTAGTTAAATACAC